AAAGAGCAAAAAAATACTATTGCGACTTGCAGTACACTTGGCACACCTTACGCATTTAAAGACACTGCCGCTACGCAGACTCCATCTCAATGGCTGGTGTATCACTCAAATGTCCTGAATTAATAACGGAGATAAAGCCCACACAGATGGCATATGGTATGGTTTGAGACAGACTCATTTTGACAGGTGACAAAGATGACTACTCATCTAGTCATGTGAAATTAAGCACTTACGGGAATGGCAGGTGTGAACTGCCTCCTTTATACAGATTTGGAAGCATCCCATCATTCACAGAAAGTGCTGTACTAAAATCCCAGAAAACTCTGGAAGTACAGTTAATGTTAAATCTGCGAGGTAAACTAAGGCTGAAATGCAAGCCACTGACCCATCCCAGTCTGGATGATTCCTGTTTGATTTGGACAGAACCCTAGATACTGAACAAGAAAATGAAGTTAAAAACTCAAGTAAAAGTTAAATATATTCAAGGCAAATATTATTCTCTATGCTGCCAGCATTAACTTATTTCAACCTGCTATACATTTACCCTTATTTTCTACTTTTTGGACTAACGCGCATTCAGTGTTTACTACTACTGTTTTAATGGCTTTTTTTCCAACCTTCTCTCTCCACCAGTCACTACAAGTGGATGTAAAACACTCTCACTAGAAGAACAGCTATGAAGTTGATAATATGATTGTAGAATGCCTGGAGATTACTTACAAAGCAGGATGTATACCATATGTACTTTTGGTATATGTTGATACTATAGGACAATAACATCTTTGCTACCTGGCAGTCTAATTCAACAGTCACTCTGTGCTAAGTCATATGGGTAAGAATACCCAAGGTAACTACACATATGCATTTATTGCAGGTTTTGCTAGAACTATAAATATTTACTAGGACTATAAAATGGACCCCAACCTTTTCTTTCACCTTTAGCATTTTATAAAATAAATTTTTCAAAAAAGAGCTAACACATTTCCCCCTGATCATAGTTCATGTCCATTTAACAAAAATTTTCTGCTGTGTAGATAAAACTCCAAGTTTTTGTCAACGCCATGTGGAATCGACATATTACGAGAGAACAGACACTGGACAAGACACATATCTCAAAACTTCAAATAAGGAAGGTATACGCTTTATGATGTATACATTCAAACATACTGCTAAGACTGTGAGAGTGCACTTTGGGAAATGCAATATTATCTCGATTGGTTGGCCAGATTTTCTCTCAGAGAAAACTGAGGATGCCTTCTGCAGCTAAACTGCAAACTCCAATTTCTTTCTCAGTCTTAGTACCATGACCAAGAGAAATAATGTTGGGGTCTCGGGTCCTTCATTTCTTTTAAATACACCACATAAACCTCTCTGTCATAACAACAAACCTCATGCAGAAGAAGTCATGCTAGCACTGCATGTGTACAAATTAAAGTGTTGATTGAAAGCAGCAGTGAAACTATGAAGTGCAAGTTCCCTCTTTCCTGGCCACAGGTTTGTTCAGTCTGCTGGGTAACTCCAGGGTGGACAAACTAAATTCACTTCCAAGGAAATCAGAGCACTGCCCATGCATACACAGTGAATGTGCTCCAAGCCCTCTGTCAGAACACAGGGATTCAAACCAATGATCTCTCTTTAAAACAGCTTTCTACCATGGGTAGTTTGAAAGTTACATTTTTTTGAAGACTCCAAAATGCACATAATATAGATAGAGTGGCTTCACTACCAAATTCTGCAATTTCCTGATCTGCTCTTCTAGTTTCATTTAACTCACTAATGTAATTACAAACTTCATCTGCAGCTGAAGAAAACAGCAAATAAAAAGATCAGTTATTTTAGATTATACCCTGAATAACTGTGATAAAAGTTCTTTTTCTAATGACTTAGCTCAGTATGCAACATATCAAAGCGTTCAATCTTTTGCATGGCAATAAAACACTGCAAGGTTCCAAATATTTCCTTCTTTGCAAATAAGAAGGCCCAACTGAATGCAGAATTTACCGTTTGAAAACACATGGTTGCTTCTCACCCCAAAACTGTTCATGCTACATACATCTGTAAGTACGTAAGGCACTATTACCCCCATATTTCCTGAATAAAATCCTAACAGGATTGAATTGTCAGACCATGCCACATGAGCATAATTATGATTTTAATGAGATTAACAGCCTCCCCTGAAATGACAAACATCTTTAAGGACAGAACAGCATTTACCCCACAGTAGTACCTGAAGGCACTGGGTATACTCAGTATTTTAAACTCAATATTTTAAATCATATGAAAACTTAAACTGACTCCCTACCTATAATAAACCTGAGTTTGAACAACCACTGGCCCAGGCCCCCAAATCTACCAAGCTGTCCAGCATGAGAGCCTCAAGGCCAGCTACAGCACCCACACCTTTCCTTTGGCCCCTCCTCTCCTCTAGTCCCATCCCTGTGACTAGCTTCCCAACCCAAGGGAGCTTTCTTCTTCTTTCTCCTCCTCCCCTTGTGCTGGCCTCCAGCATGAGGAGAACAGCAGAGTTGTTAGCAAGTGGATACTAAGAGACTGATTCTCAGATACCTCGTTCTGATATGCGGCATTTTCTGTACCTCCATTGTTATTTCCTGGGAACTTGTGAGAGTAGGCACTATATTAATGAGCCAAAAGATTCACAGGGCCAAAGCCCAGCCAAACACCTGGGCATACAGTACAAAGGAAACATTACAGACAGCTTAAACAGATCTCTGATCATAATCCAATGCTGAAAATATCAGATTTTCAAAAAAAATACATTATTGGAACAGTTTCTTCCTTTTCATTGGATATAACTAACACATGATTAGTACATTTTCCCATGCAAAATCTTTTCGCTGAAAGTCAAACAACATCCTAGTTAGCAACATGTCTTCTAAACATGATGAAACGCAGCACGTTTTTAAACAAAGATGTTTGCAACTAATAACAGATTAATACCTTTCTTAGGAGACAACTACATCTGGATTTTATCCTTATCAACTGACATGAAGGTTTATCAATTCCTCATTTCATTTATTTTGTTACTTTTTAAACAAGTCATAGTTTTACCCTTTCCTCAGCCCAAAAGTTAAAAGCACATTCCCCATAAAATGTTTATTTTGTCTGGTGAAAATGTATACAGGAGACTGCTTACATCCCCTTGCTATCTTTCAGATACAAGTCTGGTAAGCTTGGAAGAGAGGACTAGACAAAAATGAAGAAGGTTAAGTTTTTACAAATTTAGCTTGACAAATTGTCAAAATTATTTCACCAAATTACAAGCTCAGAAATTCTTGGTCATACATGAAACACAGAAATTTGATTAAATGATCTTTAGAAACCATCATATAAACTGAAAATTGTATGAAACACTGCAGAAGCCAAGCAACAGCAGATGTTGCTATTGTACAAGAAAGCTGGTGTACACATAATGCATGTTCTGCACAGCGACGTTCAATGCATTTTCAATAGGCTTTCATGAATTCCTCTGCCATCACACTTAAAGGTCCATTTTTAAAGAGATTAGAATACTTTTCCTGAATATGAGTCAGGTCAAAGAGAGTCTGACCCAGAGCACTTTCTGGAAAATTTAGATATGGGAAGATTAGAGATCATAAATCAAAACCTTTTACAGATTTGTGGCATGCTCACTCACTAAGATGGTTACCGATTGAAAGAAACCAATATACTTTCCACCTTCCTTAGATTATATAAAATTATGACTACTGCAGTGTCCTTTAGTTGGGTAGAATAGCTGCTTATTTCCAGCAGCTGATTATTTTTTTTTTTAAAGAGTGCTGGGGGAGGGGGAGGCAGAAAAAAAAGCTTCTGATAGTACTCATAAGATGAGCAGCAGTGACAAAAAAGGCAGTCTATGCCAAAACACTTTTAATAATGAGAGTTACAAATGAAAGCAAAGACACTAACTGTGAAAATTGCTAAAAGCTTGATTCGCTTCTGTACAAGAGGCTGAAAAACGTTCAAATAACGAAACTTGCAACAGATATCAGAGCTTGAGACAGAATGCAAATCTCTAAAAACCACAACAAAACCACTTCCTAAAGATTTCTGTTCAGTGTGTTGTTAAAACTCTATCATAGTGAAGGGTATGTTAAAACAAAGAATAAATTAGCAGCCCAGGAGATTTCCTGCAATCTTCTGCAGCTTGTATTCTTTAGCTGGTGAAGTGAACAAACTGCTTACTCCTATCAAGATGAGATTCCTCTAGCCTGTGCACTTCAATAGGGAAAGGTACAATTATGCCTCTCTGGTGAGAAAATACTGTCCTTGACATCTCAAGAAAATGTAAGTGCGCTCATTAATTCTATAATATCTTTGGAAAATCAGCACAGATGCCAGCTATTGTTCTGGATATTGCGCATGGTTACAAAATTTACCTTAAGCTATATCCTTCCCTGCTCCTTCTATAAACAGTTCCTATGAATTCCACTAAATTAATTTGGTGACAGAATCCAGGCAAACCTATCTTTGAGACAAAGCTCTCACTTCCTGCTCTTCATACATACAATATCGTTTCAAATCCACTGTTGCACACTTTTGTGCTTCTAATCTCATTGAACTACTTTGTTACTTTTTGTTTAAATCACAGATACACACTTAGAATTTCCATTTCCTATCATGGAAGATCTACAGACTTTCAGAATACCATCTGACATAGGATAATGAATATGTCACTGAGTGAGACTAGCACATAGTGTTTTTTGGAAATACTTGACTGAGGTATAGCAGGAAGACAAATTTAACCCCATTGCCCATCACCTACTAATGATGTTTCCTTTAGTTCTTGAAAACACTAGACATATAAATGCAACATCACTATAATAAAGTTCCACTGGTCAGAAACCCCAGTAATATTATTATTTCAAAATTATTTTAATATCTTATCTCAGTAAGTTGCGGTGTCAGGAAAACTGCTTAACACTACTAGTCTAACTATAAATTTACTTGAAGCCCATAAATGATTATCTTTTCTTTCTTACCTCCAGATGCTCTAAAATATAGGGAGGGTTCGTCATGCCAAGCCTCAGCATAGCTCCCTCAGGAATAGCTTCAACCAGCTTCCACAGAAGCGTAGGGAGGTCTGTGCCAATGTCTCTGCCATAAGCCCCTGTGTCTTCACTGGTCAGCCATATCTCACAAACACCCTCTGTGAATAAAAGAAAGAGATAATTAACAAATCTGGTTTAGAGCTGTTTATTTTATCATACAGCTGCTCACTCTTTTTAATGCAGTATTTCACAAGGCTATTATGCAGCCAGACTGGGTATTCAATTGCAAAGGGGAGGGAAGGAGAAGGAAGGCTTATCCCATGGGTAGCAGTGGGTTATTAAGTTCATTTTATGAGCACAAGAGTGCTACAACAATGCTGTAAATTATCATTGCTGTAGAATGATTAACATTCACAGCCAATAACTAATTCTGTGCTGCCTCTACAGCAAGTCAGTCAAGTTCAGTACTTTGCTCTATTGAGGCTAATCCACTAAATTCTACAAGTGACATTAACCAAGAAACAGTTTGCATTAATGGTTGTTACTAACAGTTAACATACTGAGTGGTAAGCTTCTAATAAGCAAAAGTAGCTCTAAAGCACAGTGATTAACATTCTTCCTGTAATAACCATTGAAAAAATCCCCACCTTGTATTCTTTAAATTATACAATTAGCAATGCAATATTAAGGCTGTATTGAAAATGTTTGTGACCACTGCATGACTGTTATAGTGTGGAAAAACTGTTTCCTGGCAGTTAATACTTCATTTTCCATCATGAGGGCCTTAGGAAGTAGTATATTTGATTTATACTGTAAATAGTGACCTTGAACACTGATATTTGGTAATAATATCCTACTGCTCAAAGAGGGGAAAGATTGCACCACCCTTTAATAACAGTTGAAGGCAGCAAGGTTCCATGCAGTCACTTCTGTAAGTCAGCTGAGCTTCCATCCTTCCTGCAGTGCAATCCATCCTCCCCTTCCTCACTGCCCCAAAGCAAGAAAAAAGCCATGAAAAGCAGTGTGGGTGGAAGACTCCTCTGATTCCCAGTGAGATGAGACACCATTAACTCAGTGAAGAGTTAAAATTGTAACACCAATGATGAAACGGTAAAGAAAACATCCAAACACTAGAAGATGCATACTTCATCAAGGCACTGCTTGGACCAGCAGAAAGTTTATCACAAAATGTACCTGTTTACATTACAAATAGTTAGAATGAGGAAAACAAATGTACACAGACTCTAATCACATAAAATCTAATAAACCTAGAAAATGGAAGTTTTACAAAAATGTAAACTCAAGACTGCCTCTCAAACTCAGACTATATAAAGGCTGACAGCAGGCTATGCTGAGCACCAAAATTACTTGTTCAGAAAGATTTTCAAGGTAATTTATTATATAGAATAGTAACAATACTAAGAATACTTCAAAATTAAAGGTAAACCAAGAAATTAATGACTTCTTAGGTTTTACTTCAAGAATAAGTTAGTGAGAGAGATCTACAATTCTATTCTTATGAGAAAGATGGTGGAAGTTCTTGAAGTTCTCTGGTTATCCACCTTGCAGTCACAACCTTGTAGTCACACTCAAACTGAGCTCCTCCGTGCCTGATCAGGTATGCAGAATCTGCTAGCAGCATACAATCAACTTTGTATTACACTGTAGTTGTGCACATTTTTGGAATTCACCTCACCACAGGCAGTATTACACCATGACACATGTGCTAGGGTTTGCTGCTTGTCCTACATTTTCCTAAGATACAAACAAAAAAAAAAGTAATGAATTATGTATGCCACATTTTAAAAATAAGAGAAATATAATGAATCTCAAGAATGTCTCATGTCCCATTGCCTTCTTCCCTATATGAGGTTCCAATAGCCATTAAGACACTGCAAAACAGAGTAATTAACCTGCTGAATTTCTTAGTGAAGCGGAGTAATTTCTACTTTTAAGCTTTCAACCTAACTAGTTGCTTGTTTTTTCGTTGTGGTGGTTTGTGGGTTTTTTTGCTTGTTTTGTTTTTGTTGTCCATCCCCATGCCCCCCCCCCCCCCCCCAAGGCTAATGGAATACTGCCTCACAGTTACCATATGAACATTGGGGGGGGGGAAGAGAGAGAATAAATCACTAGCTACGAATGGAATAACATTCCTGTGGAAAACAACAGTGGGCTTTTAAAGCTGCATAGGTGGGGACCATTAGCCCCCTGGTGGGCTGAAACTTCAAATTAAAATCACAAGAGGAAGCAGCTGTAATAGTAAATCGGCAACAACAGGAATAACCATCTCATCTGCTCTCCGATCAGGGTGTTGAACAGCAAGCAATGGGAATAATTCATGCTGAGCCAAGGATGTAGTCTTAATATGGGGGGGGGTGGACACCTGTATTTTAGTCAAAAGTTCATGTCCCAGTTTTAGCCTGGCAAAATGTTACCTGCGAATACTGAATATTGCTGTCAGCACTGAGTATTTACAAGTGAAGTAAATTAACTTTGTATACAACTGTACATCACAGATGTTTGCTGTTAACTATTAGGCTGTTCATTCTAACCCTTTGCATCCTGAGTTTAGAAGACTAAACTTACACCAGGTAAGAGGAGAAAACAACAAACCTCTCTAACAGGATTAATAAAGTGAATCAATACTTCCTACTTTTACTCAACCCTTTTCCTCTCCAAACTCCAGCCCTATATAGTAACCTTTTTAAATTCACTGTGTTTTTTTTTCTTTCTCTTGCAATGAATGTCACTCGATCATTCACCATTCTGTTACTGGGTAATTCTGGTGCTAATAAAAGCAAGCTGATTTTGTAAATGAGAAAATTGATCCAAACTGCAGAGTTTGGATGTGCAAATTCAGAGCATTTGTTACACTATTAAGGCCAATTATCATTATATTCAAGTAATTACAAGCCTGCCTTTGGTCACAGCTCGTAGTTTATTTCTCACTCAGCCATCACTACCCAGCACAAAAGACTGCTGCCTCAACTGCTGGCTTCTGATCTCTGCTCTGCTGTAATTGGAGATGACTGAGAATGAAAAATGTTGGGAAAAGAATGGGTTCTTGTACATGAAGGAGGTTCTGAAGTTATTCCTTCTCCAATGTCTCAACATAATGAATACTTATTGAAGATTATGACATGGGTTTTAACTTTTTGTGGGGTAGTCTAAACAATCCTTGTCATAAATAAGACAAGAAATCCTACAGTTATCATTTTACAAGATACGTTCATTTCTGCTTTAGAGATCACTCGAAATGATTCATTTCTTTAATAAAAAAATTCTAGTGCTATTTATTTCACTTTGTCATCAAGCCACTATTGTAAACACTGTCTTCAGCAGTAGCAAACATCTTTTAAATTGAAGGGAAATCTACTCCACCTGAAAAATGAATTTACTTCAATCCACAAAAGCATCTGAAGATGTAAAATATCAAACACTAATCCTTTGAAATTCTGTTTGTTAACCTGTCATACCTTCGTACAAATGAAATTCAATCTCAAAATCCCCTTTTTTTTTCCTTCCCTTCTCATTCTTCTCTTTCCTGTGAGTTCCTAATGCGAACAGGAGTGGCTTCTCCAGCAGCACAACTCTCTGCAGGCTGCCTCAGTGGGAGGCCCGCAGTTCTGACCTTCTCAGTAGCTCACATATGCTTATCAATAACCACCTGACCTCCTTGCTAGCCCTTCTCCAATGGTGAATTCTTACAGCAGACTGCAGTGCTGTAGAGACCACAGAAATACCCCTCCCACTGCACCACAGAAATCTTAAAGACCATTTAAGGGGAAGCCTGACTTTAAATGCTTGTCAAAAACTGCTCGCAGACTGAAGGACAACCAATCTGACCCTGCCACTCCTGATCATAACCTTAGAATCAAAAAAATATATTAAAAAAAAAAAATCAGATCCTAAGATGGAAAGGCTTGAAGAAATGAAATTCATTGTAAATGCGCTTATTGCTCAGAATTAGCTTACCCTACCTAAATTTATTTTCTATTCAATTATTTGAGTTTCTCATTAGTTATTCAGCATGGATTTTACAGGCACTGTTTTCATATTTCATGCAGTGCATGTGCTAAATTACTTTACTGAATGAGTGCCTTAAATGAGAAATTGTGAAAATGTGTACACACTGTATCAACCTGAATATAATCAAGTTTAAATAGAAATTGAGATTTGGAGGAATCAAACTCCTCCTACACTTTTGAAGTACTCTGCAAGCATTGATTCACCATGTAAGAGTCCAGGCCTCCTCTCAAGACAGACTGTTCAACCACGTGGATCACTACTGAAAGATTCCATTGCGGGGATTGCCTGAAAGAGTAAATCAAACTGGGAGCAGCTCACTGGTACTAACAGGGGAGGTTTTGAAGGATTAGTTTTCAGTTTACCAAGAATTCCCTACTTAAACTGTATACACACGGCTTCTAGAGGACAGAGAATGGAGTTATGCACAATCCCGTACAAATGCACCCTGTCCCAGTCTCAGAAAGTAACTCACACCTGACTGTCACAATTAGAAACTTCAGGCAGGTGACAAAACAAGCAGACTGAAGGAAAAAGACAGGTCTAGGTGCAGAGCTGGTGAAGGAATCAAGATGTCAGGCTATACTCTGTACTTTGGAAAGTGTGGGTCAGCTTATAATTCAGCAATATAGCATACAGACAAATGAAGTACTGCAGCCCTGCTCATGACATGCTACATACAAACTGGCCCCATCACAATCTCATTTTTACTTTGAGGGACAAAGCTCTAGAAAAGGATGTCAGACTGACTTTCTAGAGGACTTTTATTATGCCCAAACATACTTCCTCTTTTCAAAAGATCTCCTTTGCTTTTATCCTTCTGGACAGTCCTTAAGGAAGTAAAGGATGACTGACCACTCGTTTTTTCTTAACGCTTGCCACAAATAGCTGAACAAATGTTGGATAACCTACTGGATGCAACAACTGGAGAACTACTAGGTCTTCAAAACTCCTGTTAAAACAGAAAGCGTAGCAAAAGGAGGATTGGCTTAACCAACCTTTCACAATGAAGGAGGAAGCAATGGCTGGTTGAGTGGCCCAGAAATCTATTCAACACTAGTGCACTTCAAAATGAGGACAGAAAAATATTTCTCTGAATTTTCACTATTAGAGTGATAACCAATAGTTTTTA